CATCTTCTCGTGTGAACTTGATGTATTTATCCACAGAGTTGATGTGGTCAGTAAAATGTTGGACTTCCTGAGATTTAATTTTAACCCAGGTGTCGTCAACATACCTGAACCAATGACTTGGTGGTGTCCCTGAAAAGGACGTCAAGGCTCTCTTTTCTACCTCCTCCATGTACAGGTTGGCAACAGAAGGGGAAACTGGAGACCCCATAGCACACCCATGTTTCTGCCTATAATATTGCTCCCCATATGTGAAGTAGGTTGACTGCAGGCACAGTTTCAAGAGTTGACACAGTTGTTCTGTGGAAAGCGTGGTCCTGCTGCTCAGAGTGGTGTCTGATTTTAATTTTAAACTGACCACCTCTACTGCATCATCAACAGGAATGCACGTAAAGAGTGATGTGACATCAAAAGAGACCATTGTTTCATCAGTCTCCATGATGACATCCCTCACCTTATCCACAAAGTCCATGGTGTTCTGTATGTGGTGTTCTGAGCTGCCAACTAAAGGGATGAGTACAGACGCCAGATATTTGGAAACATTGTAAGTGACAGAGTTAATCATGCTAACGATAGGTCTTAAAGGTACACCTTGTTTGTGAATTTTAGGTAAACCATACAGACTAGGTGTGGCCTCCCCTGGGTACAGTCTGTGGTACAGAAAGCGGTCAATAGCCTTGTCCTGCTCCAAATTTATCAGGCAATCTATTAACTTCTTCTTGTAACCACTTCCTGGATCTCTTTTCAGAGGTTCATAAGTGGTTAAGTCACTAAGGAGTGTCATAACTTTCTCATGATAGTCTTTCTGGTTCAAAATCACTGTGCACCTTCCTTTGTCTGCTGGGAGAATGATGATGTTTTTGTCCTTGCTAAGAGTGGTGAGTGCATCCCTCTCCTCTCTACTGATGTTGGAAGGTGGTGGTTTGGCATTGCTGAGGCAGGCTGAAACTTTGATTCTGAGCTGTTCTGCTTCAGCCTCTTTCATTTTGTTGTTGCGGATGGCTGATTCTGTGGCTGTGATCATCTCCACCAGAGGAATTCTACTTGGTGCAACCGCAAAGTTCAGTCCCCTGGCAAGAATCTCTGTCTCTGGCTGGGTGAGCTGTCTGTCAGATAAATTCTTCACCCACTTTTCTGTCTCCCTGGCATGTAATTGACTACTGGAGTGTTGTCCTACACTGAATGTGTTGTTATTGGAATAGTGATGATGTTGATGAGTTATTAGTACGTTAAACTTGTTTTGTTGTCGAGTCTTGGACTTGACATGCTGTGCTAAGCGTGCCTGTTCTGTACAGTCCAGCACTTGCTGAAGTGTGGTCTGATCTAGACACGTTGTTAGTTTCTGTTTAATGTGCTCTTCTTTGGCCTTCAAGGCCTCAATAGTAAAATTGGTCTGTCTCACCCGTTCATTCAGCAGCTGGGTCTGTGCCTTCTGAAGGATCTTGCTTGCCTGGTGCCCGCTGACCGACAATTTTAGTTCCAGGCTCTTGGGAATGATGCCACTTTGTCGACAACTGAGGTTGAATCGCAAGTGGGCAGCACATGTGAGCAGCTGGTTTTGGTTGTCAGCAGCAAACTGGTTGATCCACTCTGAGAAGGTGCTATTTAAGAGACTGAGCTGAATACAGCACCTCAGACTGAAGAAGTCTTTCAGATGAGAGATGAAACGTTTCTACATTTTTTTTGCTTTTTTTTTTTTGAATGTCCAGAGGACCAGATTGAACTTTTTTCGATTGATTTTGTTATCTTGGTCAACAAATTTTCTTGGTGCCAGCAGTAAACAAAATTTGACCCTAGAGCAGGGATGCCCAAGCTTTTTCCCTGAGAGGGCCACATTTAAAATCTGTCAGAGGGCTGCGAGCCAAATGCAATAATATAATACATGAAATGCAAATACTTCTTTAAGTAAAGTCCATTTATTTATTATACAGTTATTTATCCTTCCATTCTGTATAAAGAACATTACAGAACAGGCTCCCCAAGAGAATTTTGATTAAAGTAGATGCCATTTCCTGCATTTTAGTGTATTTTACAAAAAATTATTACAGTACATTAACATGAAACAAAAACATGTAAACCATGTTATTATTGAAATATCTCTGACTGCAAAGCATTCATGCAACACCGCTGCAGCTCTGCAGGTAAGAGGTGTTCACTTCAGGACAAATTGAGGTCACTGATTGGACAGTTGCTGACGTGCTTACTGGATTGAATGACAGGTGGCAGGACTCGTGCAAAAGAAATCATAGATTATATTGGTCTGTTTGTGACTGTTATTTATTCCATATTCAATATTTTGGTGGTTCTAAGGTTTTAGAACTGTTTCCTCACACAATCCTAATGATTTATTTATTTTTCCAGGGGTTAGCACATTTTAAAAAATGGGCCAGAGAGTGTGTTCTAACAACGTTATTAGCCTTGTCAGACTCCCTGGCAAAGTTTGATCTAGGATTTTGGAAGGGAGGCTCCAAATGATTGTTGAATTTTGGATCCACGACTCACAGAGAGGATTCTGTTTGGGTCGTGGGACAATGGACCAAACCTTGCAGGCTCTTCAGGGGGTCGTGCACATGTGATCATCCAGTTTTTCTGTGCTATGTGGATCTGGAGAAGGCTTAAAACCATGTTCCCAAAGGCATTCAAAGGTAGGTACCGGGTGACTATAGGGTTCTGGGGTCACTCATGTTCTTTTTGAGCCCTGTTTAATTCAAACAAGATTTTTTCCATCCTCTGTACAACAACATAGTTGTTAAAACACAACATATACAGAGCTTGTTTCTAGTGCAAGTTGAAGTCTGCAAAGTCAGCCCTTTGCCTCTGTGATGCTCAAAGATAAAAGCTCCATTGAAGAGATTGTGTCAAGTTTTGTAGCCCCTCTGTTCTCTTTTTTTATCTTTTAAAATATCTTAATATCTTTGTCTTATTTAAAATGTCTTCTCTCATAGAATTCTGTCTATTTTTCTACCCTGTGTAGAAGTTCATAGATGCTTTTCAAGAGCTCTAACACATAAGTGATTTTGCTGACTAGAGCCAGAATTTTATGAAACTTTTCTGTGCCTGCAGGGATATTGAAAAGGCCCAACTTCTAACTACTTTATGTTTATGTGTATATTTCTGATAAGCATTGTGCAAATATAATGCATGATTCATGAAACTATGCATTAATTCAATCACCAGAAGGATCAACCTACAAGGTCGATGTACAAGACAATGTGTGGTCTTCTTGTACTCTAGTTGTGCACACTGATTCTGGCTCATACTCCATCTGCTCGCAGGACTTTTTGATACTTTCTGTTCCAGTTTCCCAAACTGAATTGGATAAATAGTCTTTTGTCTATTCTACACCTGCTACATGGAATACAATGCAGAACGACTTGAAACTGACAGCTGATTTCTTTTAACACAAAATTGCAAGGACTTGAGGCTAACTCCATAACTTGTACCTGTTAGTCTTAATTAATTTAATTATTCCATTTATTCATGTATTTATTTTAGTGTTCCTCAATTTGATGTTTTAATTGTGTTGTCTTGACTGTGATGTAATAATTATGTTTTGTACTTTGTGCCACCTATCTTGGCCAGGTCTCCCTTGAAAAAGAAGTTTTTAATCTCAGTGGGATTTTCCTAGTCAAATAAGGACTATATACATACAAAAAGTAATTGCCTACATTATCCAGCAAGTAAAGTAGTTATATTATTCTATATTTAAAAACAAACAGCGATGTCTTAGAGGGACAGAAAAAGATCTAGCTGTTTTCTGATATATAAACCAGATTGAATGAAATTAAACTTACGATGCCAGAAGCATGTTTGGGTTTGACACTGTAAGAAGCCTTCTCCTTAGCTTGTCGGA